ATTCATATAATTTAAAAATAAATTTTACAAATTTTTTGAACCAAAAATTTTTACAAAAAAAATACAAACAAATAATTTTTTTTTAAATAAATGATTTTCTACAAAAGTTTCTTTAATACAAAAAATTAATAAAAATTGTTAGAAGTGCAAGTTAAAAAAGCGTTATAAGAAGCTGGATTCAATTTTAGTGATTAATGCGAAAATTTAAAAATATTATTTGACATTAATCATACCATTTCAGCGGCTAGTAGCAACTCCTTCTGCTTGTTGAGTTCCTGCAGATAGATCTGCATTGTAAGTAATATACACAAATATATTTTAAATGTTTCAAAAAAAAAACAAAAAAACAAAAATAAATAGAAACAAATAAATGAATAAATATGAAGCATATGGTTAGGAATAAAATTATTTATTTTTGTAAATTTATCTTTTATTTAAATCAATAATCATTATTGTTACACCTTTTAAACCTTAAGCATTGAAATTTAAACTAATATCGATATAAAATTTTTATAATGTTTGCTTTAAGACAAAATATATTATATCGAAATATTCAATTCTTATAGAGACTATTACAGGATACAAAAAAAAGGCAAGCCATTCTGTCATGATCTTTAGTATCTCTTCTGCTTATTATAACCACTTAACTACTTTGAAAAAATATATATGATTTATTTTGTAATTGTAATTTTTGCAATTTCTACAGACTAAAAATCAGAAAATTTAATTTAATAGACAAAAATGATAGAGATAATTAACTAATAATTAAGTGCTTTTACTAGCAATGAATGTTCTTACAAATTTACTATTTGTTAGGTCACAACATTGGAGCGAACAAATAAATGAAATTTAATGACAAAATGATGAAATAAAATACTTAATGCATGGCATGTTAATGAAGCTACAAAAACTAATTTATAAAAGAAACAAAAGAAAACATGAAACAAAAATAATCAAAAAACTACCAAATTTTGAATAGGTAAGTAATACCTGTTCTTTAGCTAAAATAGCTTCTTGTCGTTTCTTTTCTTTTTCCTAAAGAGAATATAAAATTTTTCATTTGAGTGGTCATTCGGAAAATAAAAAAAATACATTTTACATTTCTATACGCGCATGAATATGTTTAAAATATTAACATTAACACAACGTTCGCGTAAATAAATTATTAAAATATAATATCGTTACCTGCTGTTTCTTTGCTAACTCTTCCTGCTTAATGCGTTCAAGTTCTTCCTGACGTTTTTTGCGCGCCTAAAAATATACTTTTGTTAAAAATGCTTATTAAATTAATTTCGAAATCTCTATTTACCTCAATTGCTTGTTGATTTTTTAACTCCTTCTCTTTGCGCTGTTGCTCTAGTTTCTCATTTTTTTCTTGACGTGCTTTTTCTTTATTGCGTGCCATTTCTTCCTTTTGTTGCTTTTTGGCATCACGTATGGCTTGTTGCTGCTTCGCAATCTCAATGCGTTGCTCGACATTCAAAGTCTGTCTTGTGAACATTTTAAGATCTTCCAGACGCTTAGCTACGTCCTCATCAGACATACGTATATACTCGCCATCGTTTGCATATGGTGGGGGTGCTGGCTGTAAAAACGAACCAACAATTGCACGTGCAGAGAAACTGAAATTTTCGCGTAATAATTTTGAGGGATTTTTCTCCAGGTACTATATAAAAAAAATTAAAACAATATATTAATTATATCTTATTCAATTTAACTGTATGTTTATAATAATATTTTAAAAATAGTGGGAGAAAAAACTCGTCTACAAACTCACAGAGAAAACTTGTCCGATTGTCTTTAATGGCACAGTATTGCCAGGAGCATAATAAACTACTTCCCCACGTATTTGTCCAGCTTTTGTGAGGCCGCGTATTACTGTTTCACGTTTCCAGCCCAAGTCAAGTGGTACACGTAACTCAGCGACATTAAGTAGATTTGCTTCTTCGCTTTCAGACTCCGATAAACCACTTTCAGCAGCCACACTCTCAGAGTCGGTAGACACTTCCATTTGAGCATTTGCATCACTAAGTGCCTGCCGAATTTTTTCCTACCATAAATAACAAAGAGAAGTTATTTTTAATCACAACACATTAAATAAATATTATTTTACTTACAAAATCTGCACCTTGCTGCAGTAGCTGCTGCGTCGCTAACATTGGCTTCAATCCAACAGCTCTGGACTGTGCTAATAACGATGCTACAGTGTTTTTCTTCGGTTTTGATACACCTCTGCCCAAATTACGCGGACGGCCTTCCTTGAATGGTGGCTGTGAGGAGCGATCACTGCTATTACTAGAACCAGCTCCAATTGAACCCGAACCAGAACCAGTTTGTGTACCACCTAAAGCAGCTGTAATTGAACTTAAACTTTGCAAGCTGTTTGAACTAGCACCAGCATTTTGTTGATTAATGCTACTTGATTGACTAAAATCGTTGCTACTTGATGAATTGGGCTTATCGGGTTTCATTGACAAATTCAGTGGTGTGTCAAAGTCTTCTATGGTTATGGGATTGGCCGCAGTGCCAGCCATTGAGTTATTAGCACTTAAATTCGATTTCATGCTTAAATTGACACCAGAACCAGTACTGAGTTCGCTACTCATATCATGTAAGTCTTTACTTTTATTCGATAAATTATATGCTCCATTTGATGTAATTGTAGGCGGCAATTTTATAACTTCTACACGATCAGTTGATGGATCACGACTGCTAGCTGAACTTGTTGGTGCTGTATGATCAAGTCGTCCAATATTGTTGCTTGTGCCTGTTATAGCTGGTGCTGTTAAATGTCCAAGTGCAGCAGCTGCTGCTGCCGCTGCTGCTGCGCTAGAGTTGCCACTGCCCATGCTGCCTCCACCACCAGACTGTTGTTGTTGCGCTGCATTCGCTGCTGCTGCCATTGCTGCGTATTCCATTTCGAGTCTAGCCCGTTTCGCTGGGCTGAGACCTGGAAATGCAAGTAAAGAGGAAATTGCATTTGATGTTTCAAGTTCTTGTTTTTGTAGTTGTAGTTGTTGTTGTTCTTCAGATATGGTCTTTTTACGACCACGTGTAGTAGTACCGGGTATTTTGGGGCCCACGATGGATGATGTGTATTTTATAATCTCCGTATCAGGCGGCAAACGTACTCCCAGCAAGGACGGATGTTCACTACACACACGCACACATAACACATTGGCAAAGCAATAGGCGGCAGCAATAAAAATAAGAGAAAAAAAATTATATTAAAAACTTGTCTAATAGAAAATAAAATTGCATACATCAACACATAAATTTTTAGTCAAATTTTGTATTTTATTGTGAAATCACACACAGTGGATTGATTTTAGCTAATGATTTTAGTTAATAATGCATAAAATGCCTAACTCCACTGTACAGAGATTTATTAAATAATTGCCAATTGATCAGATTCAGTAGTATCCTTTCTACGAAAAGGACACCAGTAACAAGACAAGTTCACAACATCAATAAAACAAATAATCAAAAGGAGGATCTTACTTTCCTTCCAGTGCAGCACTACGAGTACGAGGATTATATGTGTGAGTGTTACATAGTTTATTATCCAAGAAAATGAATTCGAAAAGAATAAAATATTACAATTAAATAAAAAGGGTAGCTTTAGCTTAAATAAGGTTTGAAACCACATAATACCAATGAACGTTTCACCAATTTTTGACAATATTCAATACGTTATACGTTCCCATGGAATAAATTTATAAATGTTCAACTTTAATTTTACTGTTCTCAACTTATGGAAAGTTATCTGTCATAAAATTCACTTTTTATCAAATTCAAACAGTCTACAATAATTTGTTGTTATCTATAATGATATCCTACTCCCCACCTTCTACTGTGTCAAAACAAAACAGCAAACTTTAATAATTTACCTCAGTATGCCTGATGGCATGTAATCCTTTGATTTGCCACCAGTAAGTAACTCAGCCGCAGCGGAGTTCTTAGCAAACGCGTTCATAGCTGCTTGCACACTCTGTTGAGGACTCATACCGAGAGCTCCAAATTGTGATAATGAATTTAATGCATTGAGCGAGGCATTGTTTTTCTCACGTTCCTTAGCCGACATAGAATTATTTCCAGTATTTGCGCTACCTGACATATTAACACTACCATGTGGTGACATAAGTGCATTGTGATGACTAGCAGAATTATTTATACTAGAACCACCGCCACCTAAATGATGCATACTATTGTTGTTAGATGAAAGAGATTTATTCGAGCTATTACTGCCGGAAGAGGAAAGTCCAACTCCGCTACCCTGTTGTGACTGTGAGTAATGGGATGATTTTTTATTTGACGAGGAACTTGATGATCCACTACCACTAGCTCCAGACGAAGCAGCAGCTGCGGCCACTTGCATTGCCATCAACTCTTTGTGCAAAACAACTGGATCGTAAGCTGATCCAGGATTCGTATTCAAACTTCCAGACATAGACGATTTACCATAACCACTTGAGTTTGACTGAAATATAAAATTATTTATTGATTTTCATTTATGTAATAATTATGTGTTAAAAATACACATCTATTATTTAAACTTACTTTATATGAATTGCTGGAACCACCACCACCACTAGTCATAGTTGCAGAAGGTGTTATTGTTGTTCCAGCACCAACTAAACCATGCATACCAGCTAGAGCAGCTGCTGGATTAGCTGCAGCGGCAGCTGCTGCTGCTGCCGCAGCGGCATTTAAGCTATTTGCTAAATTTTGTTGTTGCTGTTGTTGTTGCTGCTGCTGTTGTTGTTGTTGCTGTTGACGTTTTTCTTTACGAGATTTACTGGATTTACTACTGCTTGAGGAAGAACCACTGCCAGCACCTGAGCCACCTGCACCACCTGAACTCATACCCGAACCATTTGGTCCAGACGCACAACCACCCGTAGCACTGCCTGCATTACCACTTAGACCAAGTGCAGAGGGACCAAAAGCTGATAAATCCGGATGAGTGAATGGCGACAAGCCGGATGCTTGTAAGCGACTAAAATAATCCTGTGCTGCTAACTGTGCCATTGACCACCAACCTGTAGACAAGTAATCGTTTTGTATATTTTTTATATATAATTACATACTGAAGTATATAACAAATTTTTATATTTTATTACATTCAGACCGAATGCGACACTAAATATCAAAATGTAATATATAACAATATTATTATTACAATATTTTTTTAGATACTTTTGAACAGGTTAATAGGCCAATGTTAAATAAAACACAACTGTTTTAAATTTCGACTAGTCAATAAGTCATCTATATACTATAGTCGGATGACTATAGACTATAATATAATTGAAATATCGGTGACTATGAAATATGCTTTTTAAACTAATTCAAAGAGTTGTTTATTATGGTATTTAACAGTGAAATTTTAGTCCGTTCAAAAAAGTATAAATAATTTATATATTAATAATAAACATAATATATAAAATATTATATAAAATATATAAAATTTTATACAAAATATTACATTAAATATTATTTAAAATATTAAATTATATACATGATTATATTATATAAATGATTATATTATAGAAAATATTATATTAAATAAAATATTATATAAAATTTTACATGAAATATTATATAAAATATTTATTATATTAAATATTTATTATATTAAATTATATATAAAATTAAATGTTATATTAAATATTATATAAATATTTTATAGAATATTATAAAAAAAATATTACATAAATATTTTATAGAATATTATATAAAATGTTATATAAAGATTTTATATATTTATTATATAAAATAATTATTATATAAAATATTTATAATATAAAATATTTGTTATATAAAATATTTATTATATAAAATATTTATTATATAAAATATTTATTATATAAAATATTTATTATATAAAATATTACTATTTAAAATATTATTATATAAAATATTTTTATATAGAATATTAAATTACAAAATATTTACTAAGTAATTAATATTACAAAATGTTATAATGTTAAAATTTAAAAAATAATATTCATATATTTCTGAACGAGTTAATTGAGCAATGTTAAATAACACACAATTTTTTAAATTAGTCATTAAAAAAATATATTTTATTTTTACTGATATATTCGACTATAGTCTAGTCAGCTTTAGAGTACTATATACTAGTTGTGTTATTAAACATTGACCAATTTGGCCGCCCGTTCACAAATATATAACTAAAATTTTGTTTTTTAAATAATAAATATATATTATTATAATCTTGTTAGTATTATTTTAATTATTCTAATAATGTAATTATTTATTTAACAACGCTACACACTCACTTGCTGGATGCAGACCTGCTAAACTAGCTGCCTGTGAAGCTGCCACTGCCATGGTATTCTGATGGTGATGTCCTGCAGCTGCAGCTGCTGCAGCCGCCATTGAGTAGCGATCATTTGCAGCTGCTGCTGATGGACTCGGCAATAGACCCAGTCCCGCCGCTGCAGCTGCATTAAATTGTGAACTGAAAAGTGGATTTGTGGCAGCGGCTGCTGCTGTTGCAGGATCTCTTCCCCAATACGCTATTGTAATGATTATTAAAAAAAAAAAAATAATTTTTTATAAATATAGTTTATATAAATAATTATTAATAAACTTACCAAATAAAGAGGCTGCATCTAATAACGCAGCGGGATCATGTGCACCGGCTCCACCGCCCCCACTGGCACTAGAGCCGGCTTTCCCACTGCCGCCACCTGATTTGCAATCCGCGTCACCAACATTCTTATCCATGTTTTTCATCAAATAACTGCCGTTATAGGGCTTTTTATTGTTGCGTTTAATTTTGAGTTTTTTTGCCTTGACGGCGTAATTCAATAATTAATAAAATAAAAAATGGCTTGCAATTTTTTATTGCAGGAATTGTTGATCTGATTTAGACCCTCAACATTACTGGTTGCTTTGAGTTGCTTTAGGTTGCGATATTTTTCTTAGTAGCTTTGAGCGTGTGTTTTACATTCAGATACTTTACACTTTTTTGTTTGGACGTCATTTTTGTTGTAGCTAAAAAAGCAAATAAAAAAACATTAATTTATTAGAACAAATATCTTACAACAAGTTCGAAACAAACTCATACATGTGTGTGAATAATTTAAGAGCATAAATAAAGAGTTCGAATGATTGAATGTATGAGTTGGAGAGTTGCGACACACATGAAAATTCATTGAAGAAACATTTTGTTTTGTAGTAGTTCAGTGTATTTTTTGTATTTGTATTTGCATTTGTATTTGTTTTTGTTTTTGTTAGGTTTGTGTTTTTGCATCTAAATTTTATCTTCGCACTCTAAAACGAACATAGATAATTTCTAAGAGCACAGAATGCTGTGTTTGAGAACGGCACAGATAAAAACAAACAAGTTCAATAACATTACTTTAAATCTATTAAATGCGTTTTATTTATTCCTCATAAATCGCTTGGCAAAGATCTGATATTAACTGGCGCTAAAAATGTATCTCTGTTGCATGTACACTCAAGCAGTAATTGCAGACTTGGGAATATTAAGTACATGCAATCATCTCTAATTGCAAGTTTGTTAATAATAGATAACAAACTCATGTTTTTATTTTGATTTAATAGACCTCAATATCACCTCCCCTTGGAGTAACATATGGTTTTCTATTTCTAAAGTGTGTACCGACACACTATTCAGCTGTTAATTTGATTGATTATGATTTTTATAACCCCGAAGAAAATTAAAAATCTACTGAAATAATTTCTGACTTAGTATTAATATTACACAATATAAATCAGATTACTTATTAGAAATCTTAGACAGATAATTTTCAATATATTATTTTTACAAAATGTAATCCAAAACAAATTTTTTCGAAAAAAAAAAAAAAGAAAAACTGTTTAATGAAAAAACATTAGAACATTGGCTTTGATAATAGATTATCACAGATATACAAAAATATAAAGAAAATATTCACTTTCAGCAGAAAACGAAAATAAAATATTTTTTCAATAAATTAACTAAATATTTGTTTTTGTGTTTTCTTTGCTATTCGACTCCTTTAACTTTTAAATAGTTTCTTTTCGTCATTAAGATAGTCTCGGCAAGAAAAAATTAATATCAACATTAACATTTTTTTTTTTAGAAAACAATTGATAAGTAATAAGTTTTTTGAAGAAGAATTTGAATGTAGAAAGATATTTTAAGGAGAAGTATCTTAGTCGGTAGGTCCCCTGAGGATGTGTCCTTCTTTAGCTATGAGAAGACCAAAAACCTTCGGGATCCCTTTTCTTCCACCGACTTGACTGAGCTGTCATTCTGTAATATTACAGATCTAGGCAAGTTTATAAAACTGTCAAGTTGGTTGTCCTTTATCTAATGGGAGAGTTGTTACTTTTTCCGCATTGGTTGTGTACTAATCTTTCAATCTACGTAAATACCAATACTATTCCTGCGGTATCACAAAAGGCCATTATTTGAGCATAAATGAACTTTTTGAGACCGCCACTCCAGCCTGCCTACTAACCTACATACCACAACAAAGACTCTAAACGAAAATTGGATATTAACCAGAGGCAACGCCTTATTTTATCTACCAAGACCATATCTTCTCAGTTACTGCAGTTCTCTCTGTTCATTGGTTTATCGTAATCCGTGCAGTGAAACTGCAGATTCTGACTTTTATTCTAACTCACTACAGAAATTGTGGATTTTAGTTTTTTGTGTTTTAATATCTTAAAATTACTGGCGAGGAATGTATTAGTAAAACGGTGAAAAATCTCTAATTGTAGTTAACGAAACGATATCAACTGACCTGAGCCTGCAGCAATCGATTAACCAACTAACCTTCACAGTAAAACAGAGCAGAGATAGTTGATATATTACTTGACAGATTATGTGAACTTTTGTTACCACTTCAATAAGATGAGTATGAGTTAATGGAATGTCAAATCTGCGTGGACAAAGAATAGACTTCAAGTTAATTAATTCGACTGTTCGGCTTTTATCTGGATCAAAAAAAATTAGTGGGTCAACACAGTACAATATGAGTGTGTAGGCCTGTCATGTTAGTCTATTTACAATTGCAAAAGATTTACGAAGTTTTCATCTATTCTATTACAAAAATTTGACGATTGGAATATATCTATATTTAATGGTCTTTAATTATTCAATATTCTTTGAAATTAAACTTTGTACAAATAATTTTTAATAATCTTCATTTCTGTTGTAGAATAAAAAAATTTTTTACTTTTTTTACAATTTTTATTTTATATTAAGACTGTTATTTAACTATTTTATTTTTATATATTTTTATATATTTTTATATATTTTTATATATTTTTATATATTTTTATATATTTTTATATATTTTTATATATTTTTATATATTTTACATTATTTTTTTTATCATTTTATTTGTTATTTTTATCGTTTTTATGTTTTATTATTTATAATTGTTCACTATTTTTTATATGTTCTTATCACTTTTTATATTATTTTATATTATTATATTTTATTATATATTATTATTTATTATTATATATTATTATTATTTATTATTATAGATTATTATTTATTATTGTATATTATTATATTTTATCATATAAAATCGTATTTTATTATATATAAATATATTTTATTATATATAAATATATTTTAAGGGAAGACCAATTTTATTGTTTCATTATTTTTTCTTCTTAACTTTATTGAATTTAAAATTTGCTTTTCACTCTCAATATTACCTATATGTCTCATTACTAGTTGCTCAGACCAATACGAACGCGGTTATGTTAAATTTAATTTTATTATTTTATTAATTTGAATTCTTTCATGAGGCGGTTTATTTTTTGTAACTCTGAACTGTCAGCTGTCACGTTTTCGGTTTTTTTGTTGGCAACTCTTCAAAGCACAAATAGTATAAAATTTAAATCTTACGTTTATTCTATGAATATTATAATTCTCATAATTATTATTTTATTACTATTACTTTTTATTATTATTATCTTTCATTATTATTATTTTTAATTCCTATTATTACTTATTATTGCAATTATTTTTTATTATTACTACTTATTACTATTTGTTGTTATTTTTTATTATTTTTTTAATCCTTATTATTTTTTTTGTCATTTTGTTATTTATAATTATTATTATTTATAGTTATTAATATTTATTATTATTATTATTTTTTATTCTCATTATTAATTTTCATTCTCATTTTTTTTATTATTATAATTTTTAATAATTATTATTTATATTTATCTGTATTTATTATTATTTTTTATTATTATACATTTTTATTCTCATTATTTTTTATTATTATTATTATTTTTTATTATTAATTTTTATATTTATTATTATTATGATTTTTTTTTATTACTCATTTTTATTCTCATTATTTTTTATTATCATTATTATTTTTAATTATTTTTATTTATATTTTATTATTATTATTTTTTAACTTTATTATATTTTACTATTATTGTTTTTACTATTATTATTTTTACTATTACTTTTTTTATATTTTTTACTATTATTATTTTTTATTATTATTAATTGTTTTCTTATTATTGTTTTATATATATATTATTTTTATATACTTTTCTTATTATTTTCATTATTATTTCCATTCTTATTTGTGTTATTTATTAATAATAAATACTAAATTAGTTTTAATTAATTTATTAATTAATTAAAAAATTATTAATTAATAATAATTTATTATTATTAATTCAATAGCTACACTGACAATTTTATTTCTAAACATTGCATATTTGTGTATTCGCCAAATTGAATAGAAACCAATTATTAAGCAACAAATTTATAAAACGCAGAAAAAAGCCATAATATTTTATTTGTTTATTTATTACTTAATAACACTTAATGTTTATAAACAAAACGGAATAAAACGAAACCTGATAAAAACACACTACACCAACAATCTTTCGTTTTGTTTACTTTTTCTTATTCTTAGGTTTACTCATCTTTCTCTTATAATTTTAATTGGAACGTAACAGGAATGCAATGCAAACTCTCATTGGAAGTGGAACATAGAATTCAATGACATTGTTTAAATAATGAAACTAAACAAAATAAGAGAGCAAAGAAAACAGCAGCACAAAATGAAACGTCAAAATTTCTACTTCCTCATTTTCTCACCAACTTCCTTTTCACTCAAATTTTTGTTTTATGTATTATGTTAAGAATTAAATATATTTAAGAGGGTAAGTTTTTGTTTTTATTGTTAATAGATTTAAAACATTTATTTATTATAAGAAAATTACTTTTTTATATTTAGTTTTAATGCACAATAATTTTGGTTTGTTAATTTGATGCTTAAGGTATATGATCTTTAACACACGCTTGCTTTTTTTTATTTACGTGAGTACACAGTATAGTTTACGCACATATTAAAAATGTCGGTTTTGTCTCTCATTTATCCACACAGACGCATCAATGCTTCAATGGAGATACTATGTTTTTTTTTATTCATTCATAATTTTTCTTTTTACTTTTTTATTTTGTTTCTTCATTTCACAATTGATTTACAATAATTATTTTTTTAAAACTTTTCTTTTTTCCTTTATTCAGAACTTTATATAAGATTTTAATTATTTCATTTCCCTTTTATATATAATAATTTTAAATTTTGTATCTGGAAGGTGAAATCTTTTATTTGTTTTCAATTAATTTTCTCACATAATTTAAAATCACAATTTATTATTCTTTTGACATATCCGAAATATATTAACACACGAACACAACCGGCGGCGTTTATAACCAATACTTAAATGGGCAAACAAATGGTCAGACAAAAAAGATAAGCGTAGGCTGTCGGCTGTTTGCTATTTTGTGCTCTCTTTGGCGTTATGCTGTTGTTCTGCTGTTTGTGTTGTGTTGTTGTTTTGTTGTTCATCATACTCAAATTGCTGCTGTAAATGCTGTTGTCGGTTTGACTCGAACACTGTTCAATATTTCCACAGTCGTCGTCAGTCAACACACAACAAACACTACGCAAGGCTGGCTTAACGTAAAAATGCACAAAAACGTTTTGTAAATGACTGAGGACTGAGACTGAGATGATTTTAAGTAATGCTAATGGTAATGGACAATAACTGCGCTTTTGTTAACAATAACTAGTAGTAACTGTGGTAATACAAACACAACCAACGCACAAGAAATGTATACGAAAAATGTGCTATTACAGTGCTTTGTATTGGACCGAAATGAATTGAAAATTATGGAATTGGAATAGAGGCGCTTTTTGTATGCTAAGTGTATGTACTCTACATGTTTGTTAAGAAGTCAATGTTCGCTGTTACTGTCACCGTCGCCGTCGCTGTTATGTTTTAGGTGGCGTAGTTTCCTAAGTTGTGTGTACTCTGCTGTTCCGTTTCGTTGGTTAGCACATTAATTTTATTTTTATTTCTATTCTGATTGTCTCATTTCTTTCCCTTTTAATGTGAACAACAAAAAAAACAACAAAAATTAATATTAACAGCAATGAAGTTTGTTTCTGTGAAATTGTAAATTTTTTTTTATAATCGATTACTAATACACGTCGTATTTATTATATGATTCCAACACAACACATCCAATTATAATTCAATAATTTTATCTACTCAATATACATAAATAAAATTAAGTTGATTTTTTTTTTATTTTTTCGCTTCATTGATACAAGCAATTAATCACATTTAAAGCAATCATTTTAGTTTCTCAACTCTAATGGAAACGCACACACAAAAAAAATATGTGACAAATACACTACAAACAAATGTTATTGAGACAAAAATAAAAATAAATTAATAATTAATTAAAATTAAAAGTCAATTAAAAAAAAAATTAATAACAATTATTATTTAATAAAAGTTAATAATTAATGAAGATTAATGAAAATTAATAAAAATTAATAATTAATGCAAATTAATAATTAATGAAAATTAATAAAAATTTATATAAAAAAAGAATTTTTTATAATTGTGTCAATACAGAAATGAACACAGACTTTTTCTGCTGAAAAAATTGTTGCATTTGCATATAATTGTTTAATTTGTTTTTTTTTTTAAAGAATAACTGTTAATTTTTTATGTTTGAACTTCATTGTCCTTCTTTTTTTTGTTAAAGTAAATCAGAAAACATAAATCAATCAGGAGTTGTCAGTTTTACAGCACTGGAGCACATGCCTGAGATTTCTGTTGAACTCCTAATATAATTTACTAATAACACACGCATCCTGATGTATACTATCACTAAAAAATTACGACTCTGATCTGGTATCGCAATGGATGTTAATGATCTATTTCAAATGTAGTACCTCCAACTTGGTACATAGATTAATATCTGTTCTAACGGGACACTAGTCTACCGGCGTAAACACTTGAACACCTACTGTGTCTTTGTCGAGGCTTGTCCAGAAGTGGACTTAAGGTATTTGATCCCACATTCTTTAGCACACTCGGCAATATGTTCAATATAAGTAATGGCCAGATACTTACATTTAGCAATGTGTCCGACTATTTCTAATACACCCACCTTTTACCGATTCAATTTCCTTCAATTGAATGAGGAATGTAAAATTAAAATGATTTTCTTAGCTAATTGAGGAGTATTTGTTCCACTTTCCACCTGTTAGTTTCTACACCTTCTGCAATGAGTATTATGAGAAATGCGCACTTTTTCTACATGGGTTTCCTATACACCAGAAAGAAATGCGGGAAGTCTTGTAATATTTCCGCGATCCCTATAATGAATTTTCAAGATCTATCTTTCCAATAGTAGTGATATTATATCATTAATTAAAGTATTTATAATGTGTTCTTAATATATTCTTAATAAAAAAAAATATTTGTTCTGAAGCCTAGTTAAAATAGGTTAGAGTTCTCTCATACTCATATCTCTCATACCTTAGATGGTTTTACAGGTACCTTTCTTTGAGGCAACTATGAAGATCTCCTTAAATTAATAATGATCAAGAAAAATAACTATAAAAAAATATTAATTCTACTATATATATGTTTTCTATATCAATCTTTGGGGAAGAATGTAGACCTATGTGCTTACAATGAAAACAACTAATACAACTGTTAAATTGCTGTATACATTTTCTGTCGACCTACATAACTTTAAGTTTAATATGATGTACTGTACTTTAACATTAATATTAACATTATATTAAATAACAATATTAAATTGCCTTGAATTGTTAAATCTTATTAATCAAACATATTGCTGTAATGACACCTAAATATATATGAGAAATTAACTCAATTTAGATTAGATGTTTTTATAATCTGTATCTAAAGACAGTATATGTTTTATTATACATTTTTAAAATTAAAAAATATAATTCGTAATCAATTAGTAAATGACAAACATGTCTCAATACATTTGACAGATAGTGTAAGTTGATTTATGAATTATTTATACCGGATTTTAATTCTTAACAATACAACAACGTCGAATGTTGCTTTAATCAATTTGTGACTTGTTAAATTATTAAATATTTGTGCCTTCATTCGCTTACTTATCTTTTTGCTCATACAATATCTGTTGAATTTTAAACACAAGTTCTTTATTAAAAATGTATAGAAGCAAATATAGAAATCGATTAAACGAACTCAGATGAATATTCACATATTAAATATAAATTTTGCACTAGTAAACATGACGTATTTATTATTCACATGAAATGTGTGTCGAGGATATAAAATAATTAAGATTTTCTAAGTATCTATATTTATAAAATTTATTCTAAGATATGTATACATTGTATATAATATTTATATACATATATATATATGTATTTATATATATCTATTAGTGCTACTGACGCTTAGTAAAATTTGTGCAAGGACGTTTCAGATAAGTATAAATGTATAATTTGATTCAATTTAAATTTTATTAGGATTATAACACTTCATATTTTATTATTTAAGTTACTTAAATTTCAAAATAATGTGTCGGAAACTAATTTTATTGCTTTTTATAGAAACAAAAAAAAAACAGAAAATAATAAAAACAGAAAAAACCGAAAAAATGAAAAGATAATTTAAAAAAATTATTTACTAAAGTAATTTAGTCATAGATTGAAAACAATACGGCGCATATGAATGGATTGAGTGAATAAATTAAAGTTGTAATCATTACGAAGTAAGTACCCACATATGTAGAGCGAAAAAGTTTATAAAATAATATAAACTTCACTATAATACAAAGGTTTATTTATAATAATGAAAAATAATAAAAATTACTTTAAAGTGTTGGCTAACTGCATTAAAATTGGCTACAACAAAATTCAAAGTGCTAGCTAACAGCACCAAAAAAAGCAAAAAAAAACGATTAGAAAAATATACGACTAGAAATATATACGACGGGAGCAATGACAATGGTAATGCAAAATAAAAAGCCAAGTTTTTTTATACATAAACATTTCTAAAGAAAATTTATTGTTAATAATTTCAATGATAAAAAAAAAAATTAATTATCATTTTAAACAAATGATTTTTTTGTGGTCACTTTTTACTATAAGAATCACTTATGTGCTATCTTTCTGATTTGAAATATATTTAGTTTTATCATTAAGCTATACAATACAAGTCCACAAAACAATTGTAAATATTTTTATAGAGAATAACTGTTTGAGTTTGAGGAAATTAACTACACTACGATTAATGATTAATGAAAATATAATTATTTAGACTGGCAAACGGGATGTATCACATAATATTAAGGCGATTGAACAAGAATAATTAATCAGTAAAAGCAATAGCAATAGTCAAAGAAGTAGACTATATTAAAAAATAAGCAAACAAGTTCAAAAAATTATTAAACAATAGATGGAAAAGAAATGCGGTGAATTTAACCGCCTTTATGAGATCATGGTTGCTTTCGGGAATATCTGTGAAAAATAAATCCGTACTATCTATTTTTACTTGATTGAGTACAAAGTACAGACCATTTTCTTCTTGAAAGCTTAAGATTTACAACTACAAGAAACATAAGTGAACGAAGTGCGTAAGTGAATATGAACCTATGTGAACCTTTATAATTAGAATCACATATATAGTAAGGTCCGCAACGAACTTGAATACCATATGTGATATAGTAATCAACAGTATAGTATGCAATGATTGCGAATTAGTGAGCAATCGTTGATAAGTTTAAAAACACTTAAATTATCAAACATCGAAAAATAATAGATGTAAATAATCCTCTACCTAAGGCCCAAAAGAAATACCATATCTAATGGTGCTGTGGAGAAACAATTTGACACTGACAGGGTGATGAATTTAGTTGGTAAATGAGTTCGATACGAGTGTCTTTCGTTTCTTAAAGATTTTTATTGATACGAAAAAGTGAACAATAACTAGCTTACTTCATAGATCATTTGTAACAGAAAGAATTAAAATTTGATAATAATGCAAGGAATATATTATACATATTATACAGAGAGTCATGGACTCAAATATTAAATTATTGTTTTTATTGTGAATTCAAAAATTGAAAATGTTAGATATTTAGATCGAAATTTTGTCACAGTAACGAGGCTTGATCAAAACAGTGCTGTTCAATAATAAATCTCAGAATTTGCGCCTATTAGGAGTAGATAAGTAAAGACAAAAATGGATATCTTTTAAATTTAAGCACAAAAAAATCATAATCGTAGTAAAACCAGGAAATTGACAATTATAAAATGACTCTCTATGTAAGCTGCCTCTTGGTCCTGACTAAAAAGAGCGTAAAATTGGCGTAAAATTGGCGTAACTATTCGTTTGATGATTATCTGTATAACATGATCCTTAGTATAAACTGTTTCCAAGAAAAAAAGAGAGCCAAACAAAACCTTAAAAAGCTATAATTATTGCAAGAATAATCGAGAATTTTTAAGAAAATAATTAATTTTGAACTAATATAGTTTCAGAGTAAATTTGAGTATAAAAAGTCATTTGAGACATCAGATTAAAGGTTATTTAAAAGGTTTAAATTAGTAGAGGACTTAAACTTTAAATTTAAATGTTTTTGAGTAAATTTGTCTTGAGAAAATAATTCTATTGACGCATTCAATATTCTTTATCTATAACACCCTATAATTTGAGTACTAAGACATATCAATCATCAAATTAAAGGATATTAAATGGTCTACCTAAAATTAGTAGAGGAGTTAAAGCTCTACTAATTCAAAATTTTAATATAGTTTTATTTAACGAACTTTTTTTGTTGGACTCTACCTTAATGCCAGATATCTTGTTAAATATTAAAAATTAACCGTTAAATATTTTTGACATCTGTTTTAGTAATTAGTCAAATATATATGGAAAGCAATTTTATCATCTAAATTAGGACTAGAATTGATTTGAGACAAATTCAAATATGATTGAATATATTTTCTCTTCGATTGAAATGAATTACATTTTTTATTAATTTTTTTATTGAATATTCTTGTTCATTCTATAAAATGAAATAATAAAATTTTTCAAATAAAATTTCCCAAATAAAAATTAATGAAAACATTTTTGAAAAAAAATTAAAAATGTTTTATGTTACAATTTCCATTAATCCCATTATTTTTGCCCATTGACTAGTGTGTATCTCACTCTACAGTATCTACAGTATTGCTAGCCCTGTTACGAGTAAACGTTCAAATCGTAAAGAAAACATAAAAAGCATCGTCAACATCGTTATTGTCGTCAATATTTTTTTTAGTATTGTTTTGTAGTATTCTCCTCTCTTAAAAAAATGTTAAATTAAAATTGCATCCAAACAAACACGAGTGTATGGGTTCAAAATTATAGATACACATATCCGTAACATTTCTACTATAGAATAGGAACGGAATAAACTGAAATGAAATCGAGCGAAGTATAGTGTAGTGTACTGTAGTGAAGTGGAGGAGAGCTGTAAAGGTAGTGCGAATTTCTTAAGAAGGAGCAAAACCAAGGGCTGGCTGACTCTACTGTATGTGGAAGATGCTTCACAACAATGTTGACGATAATAATGACGATGCAAAAATAAATGACGATGACGATGACGACGAGGATGAGGATGAGGATGGAAATTGTGATAGAGATGGAGTTGAAGTCGGTGCTAGCGCGATTCTTTTGCCGTTTTATGCTGATGAAAACGAATTCAGCACACATTAAATAGCGAACACGAACCCTACCATCTACTATCTATCCTCTTCGTTAAAATTTTACTCTTATTTCGTTGTTTAATATATAATTTTATTTCTTATTTTACATTTTTCTTAAACATCTTTTTTTTTATTAACTTAACTAGCATTGCTTGCAGTTGTACATTGTGCATTCACTGCTCATCAAGCCACACGGCAACATCGCGAATTTGTATCTGCCGCAAAAGTTTTAAACAGTTGCAACGTTTTTACTTGTGAATATGTGCATAGATACATTTAAATTGATGGCAAGGCAACGGAGACAACGGTACAAATAGCAACTAAAGATTTTCACATAGTGTACGACATACTAACACTAATGAGAAACAGTGGAAATATGCGGGGTGATGTATCTAAAAAGTTTTCTCACTCTATTGCGGCAAAAATGTTAAACACTGCTATGTCAGTCGTCTCTGGATATGTTTTTGTTTTATTTGTGTTCTTTTTTTTTTTTAATAGAAAAGTAAAAACGGCATAGTCAATTTTTCTTCTTAAGTTAAGTTTTTGCTTCGAGTTAAAATGTATCTCTCCTGGAATTGCTTATGCAACTCACGCATTAACTTAATGTAGCTGTCTATTTTATTAATACTAAACTATCCTTTGCTATAACTTTTATAGTAATACTAGTGCATTGTGGCATATCTAAACACAATCATTTACTTAGAAATGTATAAACTCTGTACTGTATTAAATCTATTTTCATATGTGCGTTCGTTAGTTAATCTAGAAATTGTGCTACTGTCATCATAAATTATCAAATGCTTTATTTATTATTGCCACGAATTAAAAAATAAATCTGTTTATTTATTTTTTTTTATTTTGTTTGCTCTCTAACCAGCAGCCACGCTTGTTCCCCCTCGTCTTAGTTAACACTGTATATTATTAACATTGATATTATTACAATTGCTAATATGTTCTGTGCTTTCAGACATAGAAGTATACATTTATAAGACTACGTGTATATATATTTTATCTATATAACTGTGTAAATTGTGTAAAGTATCTGCTAAATAAATTTTAATATAGAAAAAGTTAAAAATGTATTTAGTTCTACTAACGAGTCCAAGTCACGACACAATTGTTTATTTCAAATATTTGTT